CCCTTAAAATTCTGCCATTCTACGAAGTAAAACATTGACTAGTCAGCACGTATCTTTGGAAAAGAAACCCTATACAAATTAGCAGGACAGGGCACAGCTGGATTATTAAATCGCTGCATTATTAATAATAAATTAAGGTCCATTCCAACCCCTAAAATTCTATGATTCTATTGCCTCTCGTAGCGCCATGTCTGTGTTTCAGGAGCCCCAGGCACGGTGCCCGGCCACTGAGAGGTGTTTAGTGATAGTGAGTGTCTCTCGTTTCCAGTTCAAGCCCGTTTTCCTGGGCACGGCACACCCCCGGAGCGAGCTGGCGCGGCACCGGCGGGTGGTGAACAGCCAGAAGTGTGTGCGGGCAGGAGGGAAGCACAACGACTTGGAGGACGTGGGCCGAGACACTTACCATCACACATTCTTTGAGATGCTGGGGAACTGGTCCTTCGGGGATTACTTTAAGGTAAGGTGATAGGAGTGCACCCTTTCTTCCAGAGCTGTGCTGTAGTGCCAAGGGGCTGTCTGCAGAACGCATCTTGATGAGCTCCAGGTTTGCCTGGAGCAGAGGTGATCAGCTGATGTGCTTTGTCACTAAATGACCTCTGTAGGCTCAAAGCCCTCAGCCTGTCAAACACAAGAGAAATACACACAAATCAAAGTTCTCTGTGAGAACACCAGTGTTGACCATTTAATATGGTGAAAAGAGGTTATCAGTTCATCTGATGCTTATTACTAGAAAGTTTGAAAAGGGAAGAAGGATAAAGGATGCCAGATTTATTTTTGCTAGTAAATACATTTTTTTTCTTTGGAAGGAAAATAATCCATGTAATTCTTCTGGTAAGCATGTAAACCATGCTGTGATCCTGAAGGTCTCCTAACAATTTAGAAATGTTTTCCCTAGACAATAGTGAGCTGTCTCTCTCCTGACCCTTGTCCTTTGCCTTAAAACTGAAAAGGGAGAGAGCAACTGAAATGAACTTCTTTGGTGTTTGACTCCCATTCTAAACACCCGTCCTGCATCACTGTGCATCACTGGATTATTGTGTTTCATATATGCTCTCTACCTGCTCAGGAGGAGGCATGTAGCATGGCCTGGGAGCTCTTGACAGAGGTGTATGAGATCCCCAGAGATCGTCTCTATGTCACCTATTTTGGTGGAGACTCCTCGTTGGGGCTGAGTGCGGATGAGGAGTGCAGGGATGTATGGCTCCGCCTGGGGTAAGTGTTTTAAAGAGGTTCTGAGCAGCAGGTGCTGACATTTCAGTCTCCACAGTTTCACATTTGCTCTTTAGTTGATGGGCATCAGATGTAGGGGTCAAAAGTTGTTTTAAACTCATTTCATTTCTGATGTGTTTGGGCTGTTAAAAGTCAGCTGGGCTCTGAGCTCGCTGGAGCATTTGACCTTTATGCTCTTTCTCAGATGGTATCACTGAGTGGGCTGTGTGACTAAAAGTAGCTGGCCTGGATGAAGTGTGTGAGGGATCTCTGAACCTTTGCTTCCTCTCCATCATGAGCTGCAGAAATTATGTTCTCTGAAGGGTAGCAGTGGCTGCTTTAGTGAGAGGGTGAAGCCATTGCAGAGAGCACTGTTGTGCTTTGGGAGCTTGTTCCAGGCTGTCTGTAGACAGCTAGCTCTGCCACTGTTGGTGTTCAGATTTGTCTAGTGGAGCCTCTGCTTCAAGGAGGAAGGTGCTCCACAGACCCAGCCTGTTGCTGTCAGCAGGGGCCAGGCTGTCTTTGACAGCTGTTATGGGCAGTGAGTAGTATCCTGTCTGGTTTGGCCCAGCTTGTTCTTAATAAGGAGAATAATTCTGTTTGAACATAGGCAGAGGCATTCTAATGTGTTTGCTTACTGAGTTTTTAGTAGTAAGAAAGGATTCCTTCCTTCCAGCTTTCTCTGTGATCCAGACTACTGTGTGCTTTGTGTGTATGCCTTGGCACTGGCACCTCTGTTGTTTGCCTTTCCAGGGTCCCTGCCAGTCATGTGCTTCCTTTTCCATTGAAGGACAACTTCTGGGAGATGGGGGACACAGGTCCCTGTGGTCCCTGCACAGAGATCCACTATGACCACGTGGGTGGTGGCAGAAACGCTGCAGCACTGGTGAACCAGGGCAACCCCGACGTAGTGGAGATCTGGAACTTGGTCTTCATGCAGTACAGCAGGTACCAGGCATCTCATCTGAACTCCAGAGCCTTTCCCTCTTGTGTGACTCCAAAATCATGTGTATGTTCTCAGACATCTCACTGCTTTCCAGAAGGTGGCAATACAGAGCAAGAGGAAAGCTGTGGAGATGTGCCCAGTGTGGCTCTTGGTCCCCCTTGCTTTATTTGCCTTGTCCTTCTTTAACCTTTGCTGCCTATTCTCCCTTACTGCTGCATTCCAGAGGTCTCTTGAGATCTGCAGCAGTCTGGAGAAACCTGCAGAAGGAGGACAAGGCCTTTGGCCCTGTTAGGGAAGGCCTTTTTCTTTACATTACTATTTGTCCTGACTGACTAATGGTCAGATCCTGGCTGCCTGACAGTGCCAAGGCAGGCTGCTGTTAGTCTTGTCCCTGAGCTTCCTTTTGTTGGGGTCACTGAATGTTTCCATCTCCTGTCACTCTCCCATTCTCTTTGATTCATCTGCTCCTTTTTTTTCTGCCCATGAACTGACCCTTGTTTATCTTTTGCCTTGTATTTTTTCTGCCTGGCTGACAGAGAGGTGGAAGGGAATCTGCTTCCCTTGCCGCAGCACCATGTGGATACGGGAATGGGTCTGGAGAGGCTGGTGACAGTTCTGCAGCACAAACGCTCCAACTACGACACAGATCTCTTCACTCCCATCTTGGATGCCATTCACAAGGTGATGGTGCTTCTGCTCAGATTCACAGTTCAACAGAAGCTCCTTGAATGCAAACTGCTTGCCTGATACCATAAGTACAGCCTTCTCTACATGTTACTGTGCAGTACTTGGAGACAGGAGATTATACTCAGCCTAGTCCAGAGTTCTAGAAAGGCTGGGGAGAATTCCAGGTTGGAATATCACCACTGCTAATCTGTTTTCCCTCTAAAGTTTCTCAAATTTCTCAGTGCCAGGGTATTTGCTGACCTGTGTCAGGTACAGAAGTCTTGGTCTGTAATGCTGTGGAAGGATTTGATGAGTGCATCTTAGATGCGCAGGGTTCAGAGGTAGCTGATAAAGATGATGTCAAGTCAGGCTGGCTGCCTCTTGCATTGAAACTTCTGCAGCCATTAATTTATGCTGCTCTATCTCCCTACTTTCTCTTTTAGGGCTGCAAGGCACCCAGATACCAAGGTCTGGTTGGGGATGCCGATGTTGGGCACGTGAATATGGCCTACCGTGTGGTGGCAGATCACGTGCGCACCTTGTGCGTGTGCATTGCTGATGGCGTCTACCCAGGCTTCTCCGGAGCAGAGTAAGGACATCAGTAAATGGCACAGGGTGGAGGGAGTTAGGTCTAGAAAGGAATATGGACAGCTGAGGGAGAGGTTCTGATATGGGCCCAAGATAGGGAGTGCATGAGCTTTGGGGAGGCAGGAAGGTGAGCGGCTGGAGGGGATTCCAGTCTGTAGGCTCATCCTTAGATGAGTGTAAAGTGCAGGGAGCAGCTGTCCTGTGTTGATGAATCAGACCAGAGGAGCTGGAGATGGGGGAATGCTGGATGTGGGAGCTGGGCAGGGATGCTCACATGGCTGCCTGACGAATCCTGCCCTGTGTTCAGGCTGGTGCTGCGTCGAATCCTGCGCAGGGCTGTCCGCTTTTGCTCTGAAGTCCTTCAGGCTTCACCTGGGCTCCTGGCCTCCCTGGTGCCTACTGTAGTGGAAGTGCTGGTGAGTGAAACTTCTGCCTTGGGGGGAAAAAGATTATCACACATGTCCTATTCAGCCCCATGTCCCTTTCCTGCATGCTGTCAGGAGACACTCTTGGATGTGAAGGAGCTCCAGAAGGGTGTACCTCATGCTGTGCATTGCAGCACTAAAAGTCTCTTGTCTCATGATCATTTGTGATGGAAGGGGCCTAGTGTGATTATCAGTAGAGTCAGCACAAGCATATGTAAGTGTATGGAAGTGCATGTTGCTGTTTCTGAGGGCAATGTCTTCCAAGGTATTGTGTCCAGTTAAAACCATCTGAAATTGGTCTCTGTGAGTACTAACAGCAACTTCAAAGACAATGCTTTCTTCCTATTGTGAACGTATGTGTTTGCCAAGAGATTCTGTGCAGGGGCTAGCAGAGGCCAGTCATGGGGAGAGAGGCAGGAGATGGTCGGTGTGTGATTCTTCCCCTGCGCTGCCAACCATGGAGCTGTGCACTGTGGCTCCCTTCACACTCACCTGCCTGAGAAACCTCTGTAATGTTTGTGGCATGCTGTGAGATCACTTGAGGAAGATGCTGAGGATGTTATCACTAACTGAGGCTCACTCCACAGGGAGATGCTTATCCAGAGCTGGTGAAGAATGCAGACCAGGTGAGCAGTGTGGAATTCCCCAGAGAGAACTACCCACCCCACACCCTGGTCTAATTATGTTTGTGAGGCAGTGCTCTCAGGGGCAGAAGTCAGCTGTTCCTTGTGACTTAGCTGTAGGAGTTTGTGTAACCTCCTTTATAACCATATTCTTGTGGGTGGGCTGAGATGTACTGGGCACAAGAAGTATCTGTGGCAGATTTCCGTGTGGGAGCTCCACTAAGTCGTTACCAGGGACAGCATGTTCTGGTGTAAGGCAGCTGTTGCTGTAAAAGAGCTATGGTAGCTCTTTTATTGAGTGCAAGTACAGCCTGTCCTAGCTTGGGTCCCCTTTGTCCAAAGTGGATTGATGATTTAAGGCTAGTCCCAGCTTGCTTCTGCTGACAGCAACTGTGACGAGCAACTTCCCTGGCTGTTCCAGACATACAGTTGTAATTGGGTCACAGACATGAATGTCTGACGAGGAGCATTTGTCAGCTTCAAGCCTTCCCCAGGTGGATAGTCAATATATCCTTGACAGGAATGGTGATAGGAGGCACAATGACTTTGGTGCGGTTCAGTAATGCATTGGAGCCATGTTGTGATGGATACTTGCAGAACAAGAAGTCTAGTTGATGTGCTTTGAGCTGACTGAGCAAGGCTGAGCTGAGCTGGGGAAAGTCCCTGAAGTGTTGTGGCTAACCCTTCTGATCCTTGGGCAGATCATGGATATCATAAATGAGAACGAGGCCGCGTTTCTGTCCTCCCTCGAGCGTGGGAGGCACATCATTGAGCGAACAGTGCAGCAGATGGAGCCCTCCACAAACTTCCCAGGTGAGTTTCCCTCCTCTGACAAACTGCACTTAGAGACAGTTTAATCCAGGTCCTCACAAGCATTGCAGTCAAAACTGGTGGATGTCTGCCTCCCACATGTTTTCTGTGACCTTCCAGCCCCAGGCAGAGGAGCAGATGTTGCTCCTTTCTGCAAATTGCAATTGTTTTCTACTACTTTGTTCTCACAATGAACTAGGCAAGTTAGAAACATTCCCTTGCTGCTTTATTGACTGATTAACTAGGTACTTAAAAGATACAGCTTAAAGAAGCAGCCCAGAACCTAACTATTGTGGCTGCCTGTCTAGATGTGCTGCTCTGAATTTTAGCAGAAATAGGGCTGTGGAACATCATTAATACTCAGTCCCACACAAGAAGAACTGTGTGGCTTCTCTTCCCTTCCCCACTACCAGTGCAGTTGTACACAACACAGGTGAGTCCAGTTACCAAGGCACACACTAGATTGGATCCATTCAAGCAAATCTTGGAATGCCTTTGTTTTCTGTGTTCACACAGAATTCCTATCCTTTTTGTCTTACAGCTGAAGTAGCCTGGTCACTCTGTGGGAATTTGGGATTCCCTCTGGATCTGATTGACTTGATGCTTGAAGAAAAGGGAATCAGTTTGGATTTAGCTGCTTTTAACAAACTTGCTCTGGAGGATGCAAAAGTAAGAGGGAGTCTTGCCTTGTCAGAATAATTCAAAGCCTTCTCTCTCTCTCGTGAGCATGGCAGCAGAATTTCTTTCACTGCTGAGACTCTTCGGATGCAACTGCAAAGCCATGTGCCTTTTTCCTGAAGGGGAAGTGAAGTCTGAAATAGTGTCATCAAAATGCCTTCACTTGTGAGTGTGGGACTGAGAAGTATTGGCTGGTGATTCTCTTCAGGTCGGTAGAAGTGTTTCAGGGTGCTGACTGTTGCTGGAGTGAAGGATATAAGAGAATTACATAGATTAGGAGAGTCCTCTATCAGTCATGTAGTCCAGCTTCTCATACAAGAGCCAGCTTAGACAGCCCAAGCAGCAAATTATCTCCTCGGTCTCTGTAGCGCTGGAGGACTTGCACTGCCCACCCACCACTCCCACCCCCTTGTGCAATAATTTGTTCAAGGTATTCTGAGCTTTAATGGCCTGCAAGTTTCACAGCTACACAGCAAGCTGTGCCAGGAGGTGTTAGCTCAAGTTGTTTATGACCTGGCTCAAGGCTAGCGCAGGGTAGTACTGAGTGTTTGTGAGGTTTGAAGGAATGGTGTTGGATTAGCAGTAGCCTCCATCAGCCTGGATCTAAACAAGCCTTTTCCAGTAAGGTGGAAGAAGTTCCTTGCCTTATATAGCTCCAGTTACTGGTTTGCATGCCCCAGGTACCTCCTATCTAACTGTGCCTCTGCTCCGCTGCAGCGGAAGGCTGGTGGCCCACAGGCAGGACGGCCAGAGAACACAAACACACACCTTGATGTGCACTCGCTAGCTCAACTGCAGAGGGACAACGTGCCTGCCACCGATGACTCTCCCAAGTATGCCTACACCCTTGGGCAGCACGGGCAGTATGGTAAGTAGCCAAACCCCATCTGTAAGGCAAGCTCTGCCTGAGGGCACTGGAGTCCCTCACAAGACTGCTTTTACTGCCTGACCTCATGCCTGTGGTCCAAACCTGTCCACCTTCCTGCCGCATTTTTCCCTGCCTCATCCTTTTGGAAGGTGCTTTTCTTAGTGCCTCTGGGTGAGTCCCTACGAAAGCTCTGGGCTGGTGACAAGGCTTTGAGCTCTGGGTTGGCACCACTGGGTGCAGTGGTGAAGCAGAGACTGTTGATTTCTTCTAGAGATGAGACTGTCTCCAGCAATTAGGCTGCAGTGTACGTGTGCTCCGGGGAATGAAGGCTAATTACGCAAAGGGTTTAGGTAGTTGTCTGAAGCCATGCCCTGGATATTTCCGTGGCAGACCACTAGATGCCAGCACAGGCTTTTTATCGCTCAGGGGAACTGAGGTTGCTGATGCTCTAGGGAAAGCACGAAGAGAAACCACAGAGAGCAAGAGGTGGTGTGGCTGTCACAGACAATTAGAGGTAGCTATGTTCAGCCAGCTCCCTCTTACCCAGTGTGCTGGTGGCAGCCCACGCTAAGCAGAAAGTGAGGCAATTCAAGCTATATATATACTAGGGCAAGAGCACAACAGAGGAGAAAAGCCCAGCAGTGACACTGGCTGAAATCTCCAAGCTAGAACTGTCCTACCTCCTCAGCCTCTGAATCATGGAATAATTTGGGTTGAAGGAGATCTCTAGATGTTCAATTTCTTGATAAAAGGAACATCAGCTTCACAGTCAGATTGGGTTGCTCAAAGCCTTGTCCATTTAAGTTTTCAGTATCTTTTAGGGGCAGAGATTCCACAGCCTCTCTGTTCCCTGTTCTTTATCACTCTTAGTGTGAAAAGGTTTTTTCTTTACATACAGCCAGAATTTCCTGTACTCTAGATGTAATCTCCACCAGTGCTAAATAGAGATGAATAACCTATTTCTTTGACCTGCTGGCTGTGTTTGTGTTCATACAGCCCCGCAGGCAGGCAGAATTCCTTGCTGCAAGGGCAGCCTGCAGGCTTGTGTTCTGCTTGCTCCTGAGGACCCCAAGATTTCTGCCAGTTCATTCCTGTAGCCTGCTGAGATGCCTCCAAAAAGCAGCCCAGTTCTTCAGTTTATCAGCCAGTCCCTGCCAATTCATTGCCATACACAAGTGGGATACGGATACATCCCATCTTATTGTGGATAGTTAATAAACATGTTAAATGGTGCTGGCTATTATCAGCCACCACATAGCTCTGCTAGTAACTGAATATCAGTTGTACATCGAACTACTGAGCAATTCTCTGTGGGGCCAGCTGCCCAGCCAGTTACAAACCCATCTTGTGCTCCACCTGTACAATCCATATTGCCCAAATTTGGCTTCAAGGAATCTACAGGAGAGTATGTTAAAAGCTTGCTGCATCAAGGACATCCTTGCTGTCCCTTGTCCAATGTCTGTCATTTCTTCATAAAAGTTGGGCAGGTTTGCCAAGGCTGCAGTGTATCAAGAGGCAGATGTCTGTGCCACATTTTCTTCTACTAGACTTATGTGGAGCCAGATTGGGTGTCCCTGCCTGCTTAGCTGCTAGTCAGCAGTTCTGTCATTAGGTAAGTGAGGGGTGATTTAGTTCCAGTTAACAGATTCTTTGTCCTTTCTGCCAGTAGCTGTTCCTTTCCTACCAAGGCAAAGTGCCAGCTTTCAGTACAGTTGGCAGGGTTGGCATGGGGAAGTGATCCCTCCTTTCCTGTTGCAATCTGACAGTGTGTATGCACTAATTGCTGCCACCTTCTTGCCCCTGACAGAGTTCAGTCCATGCCAGGCCACTGTCCTGATGCTGTACAGAGATCAGACTCTCCAGAAGGAGGTTGGGGCAGGGCAGCGCTGTGGTGTCATCTTGGACAGGACTAACTTCTATGCAGAGCAGGGTGGGCAAGACTCTGACCAAGGCTACATGATACTTTTAGGACAGCAGGTAAGGCCCTTTGCTGCTTAACCCAAAGCCACTGTAAGTACTGAGGCCAGGCAGATCTCCCTGATGGGCTGTTTTACTGTGTTAATTTGCAAACTGCTGCCTCTTGGCAGTTCCTTTGACATTGCATCAGGGTTGGACGGGAGGCAGAAGCAGCACTAACTTTACACAGGTGTATTTGCTGCTCTGGTTGTCTCTCTCAGTCCTTTGCAACTTCATCTTGCTAGGGAAGACTATAAAGTCTTCCTAGGTCTCCTTTCAACATGCTGCATTCTTGCCAGTTGGGGTTGTAGTGCTGAGAGAAGGCAAACAATGATCAGAGTCCATGAGTTGAGTAACTTGTCTCTGGCCAGTCCTGGACAACTGCAAGCAGTGCCCAACCTGAGACCCAGTGGAAAAACTCATCCCTCCCAAGAGCACCAGCGAGGGCCTCCACTTCTCCAGCATGTTTCTTCAACCTCACCAGAGGAAAAGCTTTGACCCTCTCCTGGGAAGTTACATGGGGTGCAGCTTTTTCTCCTTGCTGCATTCCAGCTCTTGATAATCACGCCTGGGCATTGATTCTGCCTTTTTAGCCTTACAGAATGTGACAGTGCCTTGCTCAGCATTTCTTTGCAAGCTGAAGTGGCAATTCAGTTTGTATTGCCAGCCCAGTGAGGTAGAAATGGCACCTTGGATGCCTGAGACAGGTGCCTTGGCAGATGCTGTCCATTTTCTCATGGACAAGCATCCTTGGTAAGAAAATTCATCAGCATGGGTGGTGTTACTGCCCCTCCACTTCAGGCTGGCAGCCTCAACATGTTGTGCAGTGAGAAGCTGGGTGCAGGGAAGGTCTGAGGCGCTCTGGTTACATTTGCAGTAAGCTTCTCTCTGTTTTTTCCACCCTGTCCCTGTCTTCTAGGGATCAGTGGGGATTGTGTTTCCCAGTTAGATCAAACAAGTAGCTTGTTTTGATTTTCCCCTATGTCCTAACTGAGCTTTCTGTCTCTTTTCTCAGGATGTACTTTTCCCTGTAGAATCAGTTCAACTCTGTGGTGGCTATGTTATCCATGAAGTCACTGCTGTGGAAACCCTGCATGCTGGTGACCAAGTGCAGCTCTTTGTGGATGAGGTAATAACTCACTGCTCTTAACCTTTTCCTTGTGATGTCCTGAGTAACCTGGGAACAGCGGATCTTTGTCCCTTGTATTCCTGAGACTGTTCTTGGTCATGATGTGCAGTGGGAAGGAGACATCACAAGTGATTCTCTAATCTGTGAGCCATTGGTCTGTCCAAAAGTATCCAGACTACCCTTTGCTGTTTTACAGTGATGATCCCATGGGAAAAGAAGTTAGATCTGCCCTGTCACATAAATTAATCTGACTGTACTACTCATTGGTTTTTTCTCCATCTTTTTGTATCACCTCACGTGTAGCCTTTCCTTTATCTCTTTGTGCCATTCCATTCCCCCAAGCTGTGGAGAACCAGCACTCCCTGCCAACTTCTCTGTGCTTTCAGGCCCAGAGGCTGGCCTGCATGACAAACCAAAACGCTACCCACCGGCTGAACTTTGACAACACAGAGCAGCGAGGGTCCCATGTGACAGCAGAGCAGCTGCGCTTCGATTTCAATACCAAGGTGGCTCTGAACTTCAGTTTGCTTGTTCTCAGCAGTACCAACATTGTGGTATTGGCCTTCTCTATAGGGATTTCTCTCCTCTCGCCATAATCACTCTTTTAGAGACAGGTCACATTTTGTCTGAGCGATGAAGCTTGACCCTCTGTACGTGGGTGGGTCTGCTTTGCACTGACCTGACTGAGCAGGACTTGCTGAGGGAGCGAAGGGGGATCAGAAAGGAAAGGACTTAGCAAGGCCAGTGGTCATGGGGCTGACAGTAGTGAAATAGTGTAAAGGGGTCTTTGGGAGATGGTGCTTGGCTGTGGCATGTATTTGATGTCTCTGCTGGACATCCAGGTGAGAGTATTTGGGAACCGAAAGCTGTTGGGTCAGGCCAAGCACTGGCCTTGGTAACCTGTCACTCTTGCACTACCTCTCTTTTGAAGGCTTTGGCTGATGCTCTTGTATCAAAAATCCTTATCCTTCATGAGAGGAGGGCCTGGGATGATGCTCCCAATTCCCTTTTCCAAGTAGAGAAGATGAGACACAGAGGGAGAGTGATGTGCCCAGGCTGAATCACCTGACAGTCCTGTCCAGGTTCTCCCTCCTTCATTCTGTTCTTCTCAGGAGGCTTCTCCTGAAGGTGGCTGATTTACTTCCTCAGGGCCCTGTGACTGTGGAGCAGCTGCAGCAAGTGGAGGAAGTGGTCCAGGATATGATCAAAAGAAATGAGGCTGTGCATACGGCTGAGGTCCCCCTCATGCTGGCAAGAAGTGTTCAGGGACTCCGTGCAGTGGATGAGGTATGACAGGATGGCAGCACACATCTTTATGAGCCTTCTCCTTCAGCAGGTATCATCTTGGTCACTAGAGATCCTGAATCAACTCCTAAAACTCAGAAAGGAAAATAGGACAGAGATGAGATCTCAGGACACCGTGTTGTAAAACATGGAGGCTGTTGATGCATAGGCTTTCTGTTCATGCCTTTGGTCCAGAAGACTGTAGTGTCACCCAATTGTTTCTTTTTCCCCATGGTGGCTGGTTGTGGAGGAGAAGTGGTGCTGCTCCTGACTCTGGGGCTACTCTAGAATAGGAGAAAAATGAGGCAGACACCTGAAGCCATATAGTTGGTTTGTAAGTGCCCCTGGGGAACCATGTTGTTAGCTGCTGATCCCTGTCTCCTCTGTCAGGGGTATCCAGATCCAGTGAGGATAGTGTCCCTGGGGGTCCCTGTGGAGAGTGTGCTGACCTGTGACTCCGAGGCTGCAATGCAGACCTCTGTGGAGCTCTGCTGTGGGACGTAAGTGACTTTTACTTGCTGCCAGAAGGCATGTTTGTGGGCACTGGTGGCTGAGATAGAGACATCATCGTAAGCTCAGCTCCCTGTCCCTGTGAAACTGAAGTTTCCTCACAGGAAAGATATTGTGAGGACAGGATGGGCTACTTATGAAGCTTTGGAAGTCCCGGGGTGAGCAAAGTTTAATGAAATGCAAAGCATTTTTCCTTACTTGATAGTCTGAAACCAACCTGGAAGCCACAGAGCACCAGCAGAGTGTGGAGACAGGGGTGTGTGGACTGTCACACCAGAGTTACAGTGCTTTGCCTTTGGGGTTGCAGGAGGGCTGGGGACCTGGCTGGAGACTCTGAGACAGTTGTGAGAACTTCAGACTGCTCTAATTATTTTAATTAATTATCTTCACCCACTTCTGCTTTTAGCAGTAATGAGAGTAGAAGAAGAGCTAATCAATCTTAGGACAGTGCTGACACAAAAAAAAAAAAAAAGAACCAAACACAAAAAACCTAGGAACACATTGGCCTTTGAGCAGATAGAGCTGAAAATGAGCAATTTTCTAGCCATGAGAACATTCTTGTGGGAGTATTGGGACAAGAAACTGCATGGGAGTAGAGATAATCAATTCTCGTGAAGCTGTCTGAAATGATTACTTGTGGTAACAGAACCTGAGAGACTGTAGTTGTCATATCCAGCATTGAATAACCAGGAAGGAAAGGGGAGATTTTTAGTGCCCTGAGACTGCACAGCTATCCTGTGACTGGAGTCTACTGGCCAGGCTGTGAGCTGGCCTGACAAGAGAGTGGTGGAGTTGGAGGAAAAGATTGCTTTCTACGAGGTTCAGTAGCAGCTGACTAGAAGAGAAAAATCCTAGTTCATCCCACTGCTGAAGGAAAGGAGAGGGAAATAAAGGCAGAACTTGGCGGTTACATACCATTTGACAGAACCCTGCTGCGCAGGTAGCACAGAGGTTCCTCTGGAGTAGCCTCAAGTCTGCTGTCTTTTGCCTGACAGGGCACCATCAGGATTTTAGGAATGGGAAAGGATTCAAGCTATTGGGTTTGGGAAGGGACTGCTGGTCTTCAGACCTTTCTAAAAAGAAAGCAGGCTTACTGACTTCTGTATCCAGAGAGCACCTTGTTTTCTTTCCTGTTCTCTGCTTATTTTTTTAGACATCTTCTCCAAACGGGATCTGTGGAAGATCTGACTATCATCAGTGAGCGTCAGCTCGTTAAAGGGATTAGCCGTGTTGTTGCAGTGACAGGGAGACAAGCCAAGCAGGTAAGAAAGGGGGAACTGAGATTTCTGCCATGTCAAGGCAATGCCAGAAGGACCAAACTTTGTAGGTTCCTCTTAGACAGTTAGGTCCCCACTGCTTTGTTTGGAGCCTCCCTGCTGTGCTTGATCTGGCTTCCTCCTTCACCCCTGGACTCAGCTCTGCTGCTGTACCTCACTCTTCACTTCCTTTCCCCTCCCCATTCTAGTCTTCCATCTCCCTGACCTTCATTCTTCCCTTCACACCCCCTTTTCCAAGACAAAAAACTTGGCACAAAATATCAGGAAGCCTCTGGTCTATAAATTTCAAGCACCCAGTAGGTATTTAAAGGTGTGATCCTTTGTGCATGGGGTTCACCTCCTGCCTATCACAGCTGGATTTGCACTTTATAATTACATGGCTTTGGCCTCATTCTTGTAGCCCTTTTGCTTCTTTTTTTTAGTCTTTTTCTTGCTAAACTGCGGTTCTGGTCTGGCTGGGTCTGTATAAAAAGTAAGCAACCTGCCACTGTGTTCCTGAGATCACTCTGTCCTTTAATATCTGGAAGTTTCAGGTGCCCCACAAGCTTGCCTGCTTCCTTTAAGGCTGCAGTCAGAGGAGAGTGACTCATAGTGGAATTGGAAAGACTAAAGGCAAAGCCCACCCCTGCAAATCTGTTACTTTTTGGCTGGCTGTCCCCTGTGCATCTGTGTTCCAGTGAGGCTTTGCTTCGTGCAGAAGAATGAAAAGCTGCAGGGCACATCTGCGTGCTTTGCTGGAAGTGCTGACCTGGAGAGCCCCCAAGAGAAGCTCTGTGCATGTGTTAATGAGACCAGGGAGTGACTTGAAACAAGGGCTGTGTATCCTAGCTAGGCAGAACAGTCCTCGCTGTCCACAGCTTTTCTTATACACTCTCTGCTGTCATAGTCTAAAGTCTCTCAGGACCATTGTGGGCACAGAGATCTGGCAAATTTGGTTGCAAGTCTAGAGAGGAATGTTCTATTTCAGTCTTGTGGGAACAGTCATTCTTAATGTCTCTGTAGGTGTCTTCCCACTGGATCCTGAATCACAGAATCAATCAGGTTGGAACAGACCTCTGAGATCATCAAGTCCAACCTATGACCTAGCACCACCATGTCAATTAGACCATGGCACTAAGTGCCATGTCCAGTCTTTCCTTAAACACCTCCAGGAATGGTGACTCCACCACCTCCCTGGTCAGTCCGTTCCAATGTCTGATCACCTTTTCTGTAAAGAAATTCTTCCTAATGTCCAACCTGAACTTCCCCTGATGCAGCTGAAGACTAAGTCTTCTTGTCCTGTCACTTCTTACCTGGGAGGTCAACCCCACCTGGCTACGCCCTTCTTTCAGGTAGTTGTAGACAGCGATAAAGTCACCTCTGAGTCTCCTCCAGGCCAAACAACCCTAGCTTCCTCAGCTGCTCCTCATAGGACTTACATTCCAGACCCTTTACCAGTATTGTTGCCCATCTCTAGACATGCTCCAGCACCTCGATGTGCTGAGCAGCACTATAGTGTTTATGACCCTGCTGCCTCCCTACTTTCTCCATCCCTGCTCCTTTTTCTGTTGCTGCATTTGAAACATGCATTCTTTCCATCTCTCCAGGCCCGGGAAGCAGGCCAGTGTTTGGCTATAGAAGTGGACTCTGTCTCCCTACGAATGAAGCAGAGGAGCACCTCTATTCCTGAGATGCAGAACCTCTCCAAAGAAGTGGGCCAGTTGACCAAAGTAAGGATTATACTTCTGTAGAGAAATATCCCAGCATGGGCTTTATATGCTTGAGTCACGTGGCTTCTTCGATACCAGGTTCACGTCTTACCATTGTCAATAGCAAGGGCAAGTTGCTACCTGCTGTTGCCCCTTAGATCACAAAGATTTCTACTAGTGTCTAGGTGCCTCTGTTGCAGATCACTGGCTGAAAAGAGAAAACTACACACCACAGTGGCTGGCCAGCCTGATCACATGGGGTATAGAAGGGTCTGGGAAGAGGCCAGGCTTCAGCCTGACCTCCTAGAGAGCTAGCAGTTTATGTCTAGGTACAGTTCAGTATCCTTAAACAACAAATTGTCTTGCAGGTGGTGGATACTACTGCAATGCCCCAGTGGCAAAGAAAAGAACTACAGACCATCCTCAAAGCACTACAGCGAACGGCCAACACGGCTGTCAGGAAACTGGAGCTGCAGCAGGTATTGTGGCAGCAGCACATTGACTTGCAGCTGGCTGATAGCACTGTGTGGCACACACCAGTGAATCCGGTGTCTCTGCCACACTCCACAACCACTCAGTCACTAGGGTCCCATTAGAAGGCAGAAGAAGGCAGGTACATTCACACACTGGAACATAAGCCCTATGTTGGTTTGATTTCACTGACATTATCTGGGACTATCATTTAAAATGCAGTGAGTGACTGGCTGGGCTTTTAGCACCTGCAGAATCCTCATGTGTCTCTACTTGTGAGGGTGGAGAGCCCCATACTAGCACTTCTGGCCAACATCAGCAGTCAGGCATCACCTTCTTGTTTATACATGGAGAAGATGAGATGGTGGTCCTCACAGTGGGCTTTGCAAGATTATGCACTAAGACAGAGGCAGGACAGGGCCCTTCTTCCAGCTTTGTGGATATTGCTGTGGCTTCCTACATGTGTTTGTGTTCTGCCTGTTTACGTTAAAAGCCCTTTGGAAATGCTTATTAGTTACTTAGAAATCTCAGCAAGAACTATCCCTTTCTTAAGGTAGGAGCATCTTGTCACAGAAGCCTTCCTGAGACATGTGGTGGTGTATAGGTCCAGGAGAGAGACTGGGGACCAAATGGGTCACTTTCTATTCTACTTGTGACAGGGATTCATCTCTGCTTGCTTTGAAGCAAGCAGGGCTGCACAGGTCTCCACATGGAGATTTCAGTCTGCCAATCTTTGACTTCTGCTATCATACATGTCCCCACTGTCCCACAGAGCAGCACTTGCATTCCCTTTGTTACATATGTTGCATGCCTATATCCCTATCCAGCCCACCCTGTTGTACCTGTAGCCCCTCAAAGTGCTGTGTGTTTCTTCCTCCAGGCTGAAAAGAAGGCACAAAGCCTGCTAGCAAAACATTGCAACCAAGCTGTCATCATTGATACTGTCCCAGCTGATTCCCTCTCTGTGAGTAATCCACATTACATGTTGGCCCAGAGGTACCTCAGGTGCTGCAGCCAGTAAAAGGGAGTTGCTGGGCACATTTCCTGCTGCATGCCAGCTTCCTTTGCTGTAGCCTGACCTGTCTTCTGCCTGTCTCTCCTAGATCCTAATGAAGGTAGTGAACCAGCTGTGTGACAAGTCTCCTGGCACATCAGTCCTGCTGCTCAGCCCTCAGGCTTCTGGTGAGGTGCTCTGTGCCTGTCAGGTGTCCAAGGTAAGCAGAACCCTGGTAGAGACACAAGGAATCTGCCTGCAAAGGGGATCTGGATCCATTGCTCAGCAGGTCCTGTTTGAAGCTTTTCCTGGGATTCTGCCCAATGTTTATGGTTAATCATGCAGGGGCAGGACCTGAGATGACTGTACTGGGACCAAATGTGCTTTCAGTCTCTGCTGGGCACAAACATCCCTGGATCCTCCAGGCTGTATTTGCCCAGGGGCATTAACATGCAAGCTCAGCCCTTGTGGTCCTCACAGTCATGACTGCCTCAGGTTGCTGAAGGTACAGGCTGGGTGAGGAGAGGATGTTGTTACCTTTCTTTATTCAGACTGCAGAGTGATCCACAGTCCAAATGACTTTTCTGTGTCTCCTCCCCAGAATTGCCTCCCTGCATTCTCCGCTGCTGACTGGGCCGTGGCTGTCTGTACGCAGATGGAAGGGAAGGCAGGAGGCTCTCCCATTGTTGCTAAGGGCAGTGGAAATGCCAAGGGCATGCAGGGAGCCCTGACTACTGCACTGGAATTCGCTCAGAGTAAACTGTGATGCTTTAGTACCAAGACAGCTGTATGCACCCAGCTGCAAGCTATGTGGACACTTGATATCAAGCATACAGTAAGCTGGTCTGAAAGGTTTAGCAGTTCCCACGCTGAACATTGCTGCAACCAGTGTATTGGAGCACTTGACTCCTGACCATCCAGGATCTGAAGAGACCTCACTGACAGAATGATGCTGCCTGTTCTCAGCATAAGCATATGGGGAGTGAGCCTTGGAAAGCGCTAGTTGCAACAGCAGATCCTGCTTCTCTTGGAACAGTGCAGTTCTTGTCACAAGACCACCAGAGAGACTCTGTGAGAACATGGGGAGATGGCATAGTGTTATCCTAAAGCCATTAAAGGGTAGAGAGTGTCTGATCCCCTGATGTTTCTTGTTAGCTCCATTGTTTTTTCTGCTTTGGCAGAGGGGTTCATTCTGTCCCTGCTGCCCTGCAAGTCAGCACATACTTTTGTCTAAGCAGTTCCATCCTTCTGCAGACTAAATTACATTTCTAAATTACTGTAGCATTTTTAATCCTTGGAACACCCCTCTGATTAAAAATGCTACTATAATTTAGAAATGGGAAGAGAAATCCCACCCTGCTTGTGGGCTGAGCCTTGTTAGTAGTGCTGAAGCCCATCCTCAGCATGGAGGGAACAAAATCGTCCCTCTTTGCTTTGGATGAATGTTCTTCCTGTCACTGTCTTCCTTGTCATCCCTTCGTTCTAGCTTCTTCCCAGCTTCTATCTAAAAAGCACCTCTGATCTGGTGAGTCGTGTGATTGGGAGCTGTTGCTGTGCTGCAGCATGGAAGTCTCTGCAGTAGCACAGTTAGCCTTGAGGTGAGCAGGTTTCTCCCATAAACTGGTTATTTTTCATAAGCAGTAGCAGACCCAGCAAATTCAATTCATAAAGACATTTCAGACTTCAGTGTTAGAGTGATGTCTAGAGTTCCTGGCCAAAGCACCATTATTTTAGATACAGTTATGACCTAAATAGAGATCACAAATGGTAGCTGAGGCCAAGGTGCAACAGGATAGTGATAAAAGCAGATTTCACCCTGTGAGCAGGAAGAACAGCCTGACAGGGATGAATTTCAGCAGCAGGTAGGGTTGCTTGGCACTGCGAAGGGAGGTAGAGGAGGCAGTAGCTACCTGCTCCTGGGAGAGAGGGAGGAGGGGAAGAGCACGGTGATGCTGATGAATGGGTAGCAGGAAATGGCTGTCACATAGATGAGGATTGGTGAAGAGGATGTAGTGGGGAATGGCCCAGTCTTCTAATGAGAGACTTCCCGCTTAGCTCCCTGCTTGAGGGAGGGATGGTGAATAGCGGCTGTGAACAGAGCCTCATTTCCCTTCTTCACTGAGCAGCTCCTCTCAGGAAAAAGGCGTGTGGACTTAAGAGGCATTACTAGGGGACAACGGGTTTTCTTATCTCAGTGGTAATTCTGCCCAAAATCTTGTATGTTGTCTCTAAGGATTGATGTGAATCCTACCCATCTTTGCAAAGTGCCAGCAGCTGGTTTTGCACTTGGGTAAGTGCCAGACATAAATGTGAGGACTCAGAGGCAGAGGGAATGGGAAGTCTTTAGGGCCTGGTCCTCCCCTGCTTCCCCAAAGCACTGACAGCTGCAGCAAGAGTGCAGGCCTTAAGCCTTTCATTCAGTAAATGCTGCTTCCAGTCAAGGAGTTTAAAGCAGGGCTTGTGGCGAAGGGGTCTGTGAGCCATGGTCTCTGGGCACCTGTCCCTGCTGCCAAGAGTTCAGCCATCAGAGAGGTGCTCATAACAGCTCTGCAAGGAACTTGAGCACTGGGGAGAGCTGGAACATCTAGACCAGTGCTTTGGGGACCTTGTTACAAGGCTGGAGAGGGTGTTTGTAGTCCTAGGGGATGGTTTGTGACATCAGTTGAAAGCAGTATCAGTGCCTGCTGTTGCACAGCTCCTGTTTCTCTTGGGCCACAGCAGTGCCAGCTGTGGGGAGGGGAAGGGCTGCTCTGTCTTACTGGGAAAGCACTTTCCCAGACTGCTTTTGTGTTACTGTATTAATAGCTGCTAGAGGAGATGATGTCTCCTTTCGGTATTGGAGAGTAGGTGTGAGGAGGAGGAAAGGAATGCTGGGCTAAGCTGCTCTCATGCACAATGCTTCAAAAGCAGAGCCTGAGCCTGCCAGCAGCAGCCTTGTAGTATCAACCCACTTTGGCTTATTTGTTAGCTTAAAAACTACTGACCCCTCATAGACTTTTACCCAGCCCCTTAAGGGGCAGAGGTCTGTGTGTTGACCTTCAAGGTAATGCCTTTACTGATGGGGAAGTTGAGCCCCTGTCATCATTCCCCTGGAGGGCCAAAGGCTGCTGCTACAGAGGCACCATGCAGTAGTGGCTCTTGGGGCCATTGGAAGCAGGTTCATCTCTGCTGCAGGAGCTGGTAGGCAATGAGTGAGCAGCAAAGGCCTGATGCTTTGGCACCCCAGCTCTATTTGTCCCCTCCTGTGTCCCACAGGAAAAGTGTCTCCCTGTTCTTAGGGTATTTGCAGCAGCCCCAGCACCCCCTGTACCCAGGGCTGCACCACCTTCCTATAAGCCTTAAAAATCACCTAGTCGGCAAGCAGGGCTCCAGCCTGCTGGAATGGCACTGGTTCCTCTGCCTCAGCCAGGGCAGTCTTGGGGAGCCCTTCCAGCTTGGATCCCATTTCCTTTCTCCTCCTTTGCTGCTCTTGGCTTTTATGGACGTGAAATTCAGTATTTCCCTTCCCCTTTCTGAGCCTGCGTAAGCTCAGTAGCACTAAAACTGCTCTGTAATTGAAGGAGAAAAAGGGTCTTACCCTACCAAAGACTGGTTCTGTGGTGTCCTGGTGAAGTGGGTTGCTGCAGTAGAAATGCTGGGTTTTGTGCTGCAGCCATGCCAGGCCATTGCTGATCCTAGGAGAGAACATTTTCTGTGATTCTCCTGGTGAACCCCTAGTACACATACTTGCACCCTCTCCTCCCCTTTCCCTGCTGCAGAAGGACAACACAATCACATCCCATGCTGCAGTAGCTGCCACATTTCTGCCTTGCATGCCCTGCATTTCAGCAGCAGGTCAGCTGGGAGGGGCTTTGGGGTATGAAACACAAGTGTGAAATACGGTTGTCTGGCCAAAAGGACAGCCTGCATTCCCTTACAGCCACCAAGGATTGAAGGTGTGAGCAGTATCCTGGGCACACATGCAACTCGAAACACATGCACGCAGAAGGGACAGCAGGAAGTGAGAAACTAATTAAAAAATGATAGGGTTTTTGCTGTGAGCAGGTGCTGTCAGGTTGGCAACATGTCTGTAAGGCCAGATGGACCCTGGGGTCCCTTAAGGGCACCTGCAGTGCAAGGGCTTGCCAGCCTCAACCCCAAGCAACTAGCTGACATTGGCAAAAGGGGAGCAGAAAGTACTTGCTTCTCTCCTCTCACTCTCTTTGCTCCAGCCTGGGCTGCAGCATGAGAGTCTGGCATGCAGTGCCTTCAAGGAGCCCAGCTCTCCATTGGCACCTTTGGCACCCTGAGCCCTGGGACTTGAGGTGCTGCACCTTGGGTTCTCTGGGACTCGCTTCCAGAAGGTACTGGGATTGTAGTGGTAAAAGCAGAACTGAGCCATGCAGAGGATGCCAAATGCATGCTGAGCCACATGCTCCAAAGCTGTGGGTCTTAGTCCCTCACAGTTGGAGCTGAGAATCGCCCAGAGATGCTGAACATGGTGCAGCGTGTCCAGGCTGAGCCCTGCAGGAAGGGAGAGGGGCAGGGGACCAGAGGTGACCTTTAAAGGTCCTTTCCAACCCAAACTGTTCTACGATTCTGATTCTACGTGAACAGTGGTGGTGTGCACTCAGCTAGTCACATCACACCTGTACTCGTGTAATCCAGAAACCCATACATCCACGTATCTGTGGGTTTCTGGGTTACCCTTGTAGGCTCTCACCATCACACTGCCCTGCAACATGGGCTCCCTGCTCCTGAGCTGTCCTCACATGTAAGCAGCTGCTGCACAGCACACACAGGGCTGCAGTGGTGAACCACAGACCCAGAGCACTGGTGACAAGGTGGGACTTCCCATCCCTTGGGAGCAACTCAGGGCCACCTCGAGCTGGTTCTGCTGCTCACCTTCTGCATCCCAGATGCCTGGGAAAGGAAGGCTCTGTGCTAGAGGCATTCAGCCGAAGGACACAGCACGTTAGGGCATGTGGGCAGGGCAAGAATAGCCCCATGGCCGAATCACCCTTCCAGCCTTGGGCCACCAGCTTCTGCAGAGCATTGCTGGGAAAGAGATGTTTCCACTGCAGCAGAACGCTGTCCACAGTGGCATGCCAAGAGCCCAGGGATGCAGGAGATGCTGGGGAATCCCAGCAGCTCACCTTTGCTGCATGCCCTTCACGGCCAGACGGTTCCCTGGCGCCTTGCAGTCAGCTCCTCAGCTTGGATTGCAGCTGGCATTTCTGTGCCACTTGCCAAGAGGCGTGATTTGCTCAGCTGCAACCCAAGCTCCTCTCTCCTCCAGAAAGCACCAGGAAAACCCACAGGGCTGGGATAAGGGTCCTGCTTCCCCATACATCCTCCCGACCACCATCCCAGCCTCTGTCAGGAGATGACGTTTCTGATAGGGGGCAGCCTATTTCCATCAAGGGATGAATTCTGATCGATTGACATAATTCTGGGTATTAGTCTACTGGAGGATGGCTGTGTGGTCCCAGGATATCAGCACAGAGGGTATGCAGTGAGGCTGTTGTGGTGTTACCTGGTCTGTATCCAGACCCACCATCCAGAGAGCCGTGCACTGCTGCTTCCACTGCACACTGCAGCTGCTCACCCTGCAGTTGTGCAACCATGGCAGGCCTCCAGCAGGAAGATGAACAAAGCTACACTCATTACCAGCCCCAGGCACTGGGGTGCAGCTGCCCGCCACATGTAATGGCTCCCATGAGACTGGAGAGATGGAAGGTGACTCTGTCCACTGTGGCATAGACTGGAAGGAGTTCCATCTTGCCT